AACAAACAAACCCCCCACCCCAAAAAAAAACAACAAAACAACAACAACCCTCAAAGGAAGTCAGAACACTTCTTTGAATCTGTTTAATTTAGATAATTTGATAACTTTGAATTGAATTTACTTGGTAGAGTTGCTAGTGTTTCAATTTCTTCACCCGCTTGGACCAATTTCGTCATAGACTTTGTACTTGGAATCTTAGCATAAGTGCATTGCCTTATATGGCCCAAATTATAGCAGTAAAAACAAAACAAAACAGTTTTGAAAAGTTTTGGTGTGGTAAAGAAATACAGTTCATAGATCCTCACTACAGTGTACTCAAATTAAGAGTCAGCTTAAAATCGTATGTGACATTGAGGAGTTTCGGAAGGGGGCTGTCTCCGATGAAGTGATACAATCGGGGCGGCCTGAAATTTCGTTTGGGCGTTTCAGACGTCGACGTTTTGGTGGTTGGCGGGTGCTCTGGTGTGGTTTGCTCCTTCTTTCCTATCAAAGATTTGTCGTCTTTCTGTGTCCTCCTCCTTATTTGTGTTTGTTACCCTCTAATCTTCGGCACTAATATGGCCTTGTTGTGTCGCAAATGCCGTTATTAAACTCTTACTAAAACTAAACTAAAGGCGTCGACGCAAACCTGTTTGGTGATGGGCTGAATTATATTGACTGCGTCCATTTAGCGTCAAAAATAGCATCAATTTGAATTTATTTACCGAATCCGGAGGAATGTCACGAATTTGCACAAACACTGGCGAGACTGATATCACTATTGCGAAATTAGAACAGTTGGCTGTTTGCGACTTACAATGTTATTTCTGAAATACAGTTCAATCTGCTGGCAAACTATCCATTCTAATTCAAAGTAAAAACGTTGGTATCTTGGCACGAAATTACGATTCTGCGCGTAACAGAGAGAGTGTGGGAGAGTTCAAATTAAAGTCACTACGGTTCAAATTGAAATCTCCAAATATTAATTGGATGTGACGAGATTGGGAGACCCTACCCAGTCCCCTGACACTAAGCCTACATAAGAACTAAGAACACACACACACACACACACACACACACACACACACACACACACACACACACACACACACATACACACACACACAGAGAGAGAGAGAGAGAGAGAGAGAGAGAGAGAGAGAGAGAGAGAGAGAGAGAGAGAGAGAGAGAGAGAGGGGGGAGGGGGGAGGAGGGAGGGAGGGCGTGTATAGAATAATATAGATAACTTGATCAGTATCAGAGGCAAAAAAACTTCATGGTATACGGGAAGCTCCAAACTTGTCAGCAAGATGTCAAGAGCCTCACTCTAACCGCTTGCTTATCTCTCTTGGGTGTCCCCACTTCCCACTGTGTTCCTTTTTAATCTTTTAGTTTGCGGAGTGTTTACAGTATTTTTTTTTCTTTTGGTCATGTGTTAAAAGTCGTTGATTGAGGAGGGGGAAAGGCAGAAGAAGGAACAGGGGAGCTGGGTATATTATACTTCTCTTACCGTGATGCCAACTGTAAATGAAACCGTTTTCCCATGATTTACTCACAATTTTAAAGTGCTCACTTGATCTACTTGCTCTCTGCAGGTAGTGCCGTAAGATCAGCTCTCTTCCATATCTGGCTTCGTTTTTTTTTTCTATCTTTGCACCCTTTTTTTAGGAACAGTCAACGACAGTAATAGGTAAAGCTAATGTCTCTTACAGGAAATTGACAAGTTTGAATATATATTTTTCTGTCATTATTTCGTGAATTTAACACACACACACACTTTCCCACGCACTTACACCCAGCCGCCACATACACGCATTTACTCACTCTCACACGCAGACACGTGCACGTACTCTCTCTCGCATACACACATGGACACACACGCATATATCATGTGCACTCATACAGTTATGATAATGTTTTTTTTTGTTTTTTTTCAGACGACCCCTGCGACTGTTCCTAGGTGGTTCAGTGCTTGGGTTTATGGCCATGAACTTAGCATGTGCCATCAGCACCAAGCAGTATGAGTTCAAGTACCGGTCGCCGCCCCATTTCATCCTTTACATACGGGTATCGCTCACCGAGGCCATGTTCCTGATCTATGGCATTCTCTTGAGTGTCTGCATCTTCAAGATGACGAAGATGGCATCGTCCCGGAGAGTTCTCGAAGCTAAGGTACTTTTACATGGTTTGGCCTATGACTTCTTTTAACATTTTTATATATCTCATTCCCTGAGTAGAGTGTGGACCATAAATGTCAGTACCTAGAACTGAAATAGGAGGTTGACGAGGGGTGAATTTGATGAGTGTCTAGATGGCCGTTTGTTCACTTACCTTTTATCTGATTTTATAAACATTTTTTGAAGAGTTTTCTTTTCTTAGAAAACTGATGATCTCAGGTCTTTGTCAAACCTTGTGTGTATTTCAATCATTGTTTTAAATAATTAAATTGTCAACGGAATAATAAAATTTAGAGAATGATTTGACAATGTTAAAGCAAAAAGAATAAAAGCTGAAAACTTCTGTTGTGGTGGAACAGTGTCTGTCTTTCCCTTTCTGTAAAATTTAATCTGATATTAAGCATGTTTTTCTCGGGACACAACTGTCTTCAAGTGTTCTCATACTTTGAAGATTATATAACATTTCCCTATGGCTAGACTTATGTCAAAATTTTCACTGATATGTATATTTTCAGTGCATAACTGTCATCAAAGCTGTTGGTGATTTTTTGTTTTTCATTTTATAGTTTTTCAGGGCTCTAGTGTCTTTAAAATTTTCGTCAAACAACTATATATTTTTTTTCTACTTGACAACTGTCTTCAAAACCTTCACTTTAATGTGCATTTGCCAGGGTACAGCTGTCTTCAAAGATTTAATTATTTCTCCAGGGCACAACTGTCTTCAAAGCTGTCGTGGCGACCGTTCTCATCAACCTTCTGTTTCTGTCCCGCACTGTGTACAACCTCATTTCTGTCACGCCGGCCATGAAAGGCATGGCCAACTTTGGATATGATTGGATCAACGTCAGCGACCAAGTGAGTTTTCAAAATCTCTCTAGAAGTATGGCAATGAAAAAGGTGTGCACCTTATCTGAAGTTTTAGCTGTCATTCTGATGTGGATGTACATTAAGAACATTTTTCTTTATTCATCAAAAGGAAAAAAAGAAAGTGTCTGCACGCCTTATCCACATCGCTCCACTCCATGGTTTTTAACTTAAAAGTGGATGTATGGTTTTCAAGGCGAGGTGTCATCATTTTGACATTATCTTGCACCTGTACGATAAATGTTGACGTGTAAATTGCGCTTCAGATTTTCATTTTTACGTTTATTTTTGTACACTGTAAACCACCCTGTCCCTTACCTTTTGTTTTCACCAAAACAGTTACATCATGTATTCATTCTATCGACTAGTTTTTCTTATGGAACCTTCTGCACAGGGTTAAGTGCTCAATGATTGTAAATCCGAATTTAGATTCTTTTGTCATGAGTTTCATTGCTGTGGATGTAATGGAGTCCGTCGGGTTGTTCTATAATATATGGTCGGCGCTCGCACGCACGCACGCACGCACGCACACACGCACACACGCACATACATATCCAACACACACACA